TATATATATATATATATATATATATAAACACACATTGTGAAGGAATTTTGAAACAAGTTCATGCCATGCAGTTAAAATCTCAGTTCCAGGTAAATCTTTTTATTTTGTAACATAGCAAGTGTCTCTTGCTGACACCCACGTGGCCATGAGTTATATTTTAGACAGAGAAGGTAGACCTGAAGAGCAGGAGGTCTCATGTGGCGGCAGACACACAGCAGTCTACAACAAGGAGGGGGGAGTGGGGTTAGTTGAAAAACAAATTTAAGAAATTTTCTGATGCTGCAGATTGAAAGAAAACAATTTGTTTAGAGAATGGATTATGATCTTAATTTGTAAATAAAATAAAACCACTATCACAGGTATTATAACAGTTAATGTGTCGTGACACCGCTGACCAATATTGGGAGATACATGTTCTGCACTGGAGCTAAAAGACTTTTATTAATACTACCTTTAAAACACACGAACTACCTTCTGGTTGAGTATTTTGGCGTAACTTTCATAACGTTTCTTCTTCCATTTCAGTGTGGGGATCCTTTTAAAGAAGACAACATTGTTGTGCTTAATGGCACGAAGGAGGAGGTTGACAAGCTCAGACAGAAGATGGAGGAGAGGCGGTCAAAGGCAAAAACTAAGGTGAGATGGTAGAGTGGGCTGTTAAACATCACATAGCATCTGTGACCTTTATTTTCTTCTGTATTCTTTAATGAGAATATTTCTTTTTCCTTTGAAGAAATCCAAGAAGAGCAAGGCAGCTGAAACCATGTCCACACCAGCAGTGTCAAAAGGTTTGTCTGATATCCTCATGACAAGTGCTTTTAGAACTGACATAAGCAAATCCATGCTGCTGAAAAATGACATAAAATGCCCTTCCTTATTTGTATAATGCTTTGAATGTGTTGTGGGATAGTAGTTCTAAATCATTTGAGGTTGAGATGATCACCCTATTATATGAACCTTCATGTCTTCCACTGCTTTGTTCATATTTATTACAACATTACTTAAAAAAAGAAAACGCTGCTTGTCTACAAAACATCTTTTTGTGCTTCTTACAAACTCTGTTTCACAAGATTCAAACCCTCTGTGCATGCAATGTGCTTTTTTTCATCAAATACAGGATCAATTTATTGCGTATTAAAGCTAAGCAAACGTACAATGTGCAAACAAGTCTGTTGTAAATCCAGTAGCTGTAACATTGGCTAAATACCTCGTAGGTGGTGGAGAATCCTTTTTTTTTTTTGTACAGCTTAGCAACCCTTAAAGGAAAGGAGCTGACAATTGTGGATTTGTAATAAAGATAAGCTTGTTTTATATACTGTCTCTAATTGTTAGTTGGTTTCCTTTCCTGGCTTTAAGAGCAAATAAATGTGAAGATAGAAATCTGAACTTCTTGTGAATCATGTCACCCACTTGAGGTTTTTTTTTAGCGCTGGTGGTTTTCCTGTTTACTTTTTACTTTACATCAAACAAATGCGGACAAGAATGAAATCCCCATGTGCTCAAATCAAAACAGTCCATTGAAATAAAAAGAGAAAAAAAAGTCACTGTTTGCGTTACAAATTTTTTGTTTTGTTTTGTTTAGACCACTTCTAACTTACCAGTAATCCAACAAAAAAATCCTATGTAAAGTTGTTGTTGGCATTTTATAATAAAAAAATATTGAAGTTAATTAAAAAAGTCAACCTCTTTATCATTTTGGTATTTCAGGGGTTTTATGGTTTTGCATTTGTACATGTCAGTGTTTTTCCTGTTCATGATTTATTCTATAGTTTTTGGTTATTTTTTACAAAACATTGAATGGTACTCTTCCATTTTAATATTAGCTTCACTTTCTTGTCTTGTTATAAGTGAAATTTAATTTATATAGCACTTTTTAACAGATAAAAATCACAAAGTACTTTACAATAAAGTACAATAGAATGAAAGCAGTAGAGTAGTCCCTCGCTACTTCGCGGTTTGTTTTTTGCGAACTTGCCCTATCTCAGTTTTTCAAAATAAGATTAGACATGACACACAGTTGTCTGATTGATGGATGAGCTGCACGATCGCATGGGATTTTTATTTAAAATAAATTATTTTAAATTAACTAGCACCTGCTGCACCTTGGTGCAGCCCACAGCTGCAGGAGAAGCTTCCTCCTGCAGCGTGTCATATCTCCGCTCTGCAGCAGAGAAGTGGGCGGGGCAGAGAGCGCTGGCAGGTGGCAGAGAGCAGAGATTAGAGTTGCACTCGGGTCCAGAAAATCAGACCCGACCCCAGCCCGCAGCCATCATCTCCTAACCTCACCCAATCCGACAAATTAACAGTAATTACAGGTCCAAACCCCAAAACATTTTTAATTAAGCTTTGACTGCTTATACCACCGACTATTATTAACAGTTGGTGGACACGTGTGGCTGAGTAAAGGGGGCACAAGATCAGAGCTGAGGAGCCATCAAAGCACATTAAATGCTTCCCCTTCTTCTGCCTGCATTCTGCTGTGACATGTCGGACATTTTGTGATCTCACCTGTTAGGGTCGTCAGCCGCGCGCATCTGCTGAGTGCAGCGGCTGAATGAACATCCATTTGGGTTGATGGATCACTGGCAGTAGTCCATCTGAAGCTTAAATCAACGTTTTACCTCTTTCAACCGGACGGTCAGCGCGCAGTCAAATGGCCGCATGTGGCTGGTGATTGTATGGCAAGCCATGTTGGCATATAATTGGATTGTCGGCCGTGCGCGTCCCTGACGCAATAAAAAGCCTGAGACCGACCCGGCCCGCACATTATTATTGCCCGGCCTGGTCCGAATCCGGATCGGGCGGGGCTGGGCTGGGCTCCGGGTTAGAAATGAATGCTCTAGCGGAGATCATGACCTGCTGTGCTCTTTTAGAGCTTTAGAGTTTAGAAACATTTTTAGAATATTGCAAGAATGTGGGAAGGGCTTAAAACACATTTTATTTATATATATATATATATATATATATATATATATATATATATATATATATATATATATATATATATATATATACTAAAATGAACTAATGAACTACTATTTACTACTTGTATTACTGTTCCTACTTCACGGTTTTTCAGTTATTGCGGGTCTTCATGGTACGGATCCCCCGCGAGAAACGTGGGACTACTCTACCTGCCAAATAATTTAAATGCTAGCTGTAGCCTCACCCATAAATAATAATAAGCTGAATAAGTTTGTTTGGGTCACAAGTTGCTCTGCACAATATTTTGTATCTTACCTGATTTGTACTTCCCCACAGAAGATCCAGAGTTTTCATCTGTAGATGTTGCTGAGAATGGAGCTCTACAAAATGGAAGTGAAAGCAACCACTCAGGTAGTTAAACATTTTTTTTATTTTTTATTTTTTTATGGAAACAATATTTATTTAATCTAATCCTGGCTCAGTTAAACATCGGGTTGTATGCTGATTGATTATAATATGATACTCATCAAGTTATTTCTTTATGAAGGTATTTAGTTTAGAGCATTTAAAATGCTCAGAGTTTTACTTGTTGCTTTATTAAACTTGATTTATCTGCTTTTGGATCAAATCTTTGGTAAATTGATCTTTAAGAAATCTATTTATAGGTATTTTTATTATGCATTTAAGACATTTTAGTGTGTTTGTATTTATAAACTGAGAAAAGGGGTTACCTATCAGTGAAATCAAAGTTCTCTCATTTTTAATAGTTGTTCCTTTTCAACTCTCTAATTGACTCTGTCTCTTGTTTATCCTGCTGCTCCTGTTTTATATTCTCCTCCTTCCCAGATGTGGCCGGACCCTCTGGTGCCTCCGGCTCCTCTAAAGGCACCAAATCCTCCACAGCCTCTTCTACCAAAAGATCCATCCAGAACATGGAGGAGAAATCAGAGGCGTTTAAATCCCTTTTCACCACGCACAGCTCCGCCAAGCGCTCTAAAGACCAGACGTCCAACTGGGTCACCCACACCCCGTATCACTTCTAGTGGCTGTTCCTCAGGGCAAGACTCTCGTTTTTTAAATGGCTCTAGAAATACACGCATATGTAAACGCCCACACCACCCTAACTTTACATCAAGTCGCCAGTGTGCTGGACTCATTCCCAGTTTGGCTCCTCGGTTCCCATTAGCTCACAGCTCATCGTTTGCATGTTGCACATTTTGTTTCCTGCTCCCTGAACAGTTCAGACTTTGTTTTGTGTAACCCGCTGTGTTTCTTATGTATTCCCCCACACGTCTGTCATCATACTGGTGACTTGAGAATTGATGCTGGTTTGTTTACCATCTCTTCTTCTCTTCTGGCCCCTGGTGTCCACAGTGGAGCTCCTTGACATGTTGGCTACATTGATAAAAGCTGTTAAAAATAAAAGTAAACTATTGTTGTTGGATTTATTTTACTTTTCAGTTTTTGTCGAATGGAAAATGCAAAGCTGTGCATTTGGAAAATGGAGCTTACTGGCCAGTTATAATTAAACCAAATTTTACTTTTTGTTTCTTTGTATTTGTTACAAAATAAACTTTCTTTGGACACCTGTTCATTTTTTTTTTTTATCTGTGATTAAAAACATTTTATTTTATATCGTTTGCACTTTGGCTGTCTTTATTGCACGTAACAAATGCATCCATGCATCATTCATCGGTTTTATTTAACTGCTGCTTCTTTCGGAGGAGCTGGTGTCCATCTCCAGCACTCGCTCTTTGAGAAGTGGCGTACACCCTGGACAGGTCATGAGTCCTTCACAGGGATGCGTAGACACAACCATTTACAGTCTCGCCCACATCCAGCGGCAAGTTGTTTTTGATCTGTGGGAGGAAACTGGCCATGGGATGCACAGAGAGAACATGTCAACACACAAAGGCTGGGGGTGACGGCTCCAACTGCTGTGTAATAAATACAAGAACTGATTCAGTAAAGTCTTCACGTAGTGAATTATACAGACTGAAATGATATAATATTGTGTTTCTTGAGTGTCTTCTCTGTTCCATAAACCTTGATCCAGATCAGGGATCTGCAACCTTTATGATAAAAATAGCCATTTTTACGCCTTTGTTCACAACATTAAACAAGTCCAGAGCTGCAACAACCTGCTACAACTGGTTACCATTCAAGGATTCTTTTTTTTTTTTGGTAATACCAGCTCACATTTGCATGTTCAGGTATGAAATTCGGATTCAGCTCCCAGATCAAGAAGCCTAACAAATAAATAAATCAAATGTATATATCACCTGGTGGCCTGTGCCACTTTAGGTATGCTGGATAGGCCTTTTGTGGCCTGTAAAGGTGACGAAGCAAAAACATATCTAATGATTTTTAACATGTATTAAAGAAAAAGACCAAATTCTTGTAAAAGGGGAAAAATCTGTTTTTTATTTATTTATTTTTTATTAATTAAAAAAAACCTATGCAGACAGTTCTTCATATAAAGAAATAAAGCATCAAGTTAAAAGTGTGTTTTGCTTCTTGTACTCGCTCCAGTGTTCACATTAGCAAAGCAAATAACAGGAAAACTATTTGAACTAATCTTTTTTGTTGTTTGTATAACCAATAAAATTCAGTTTTATGCCAGTTTTGGTCAAATCTTAAAAGAGCTGCATGTGGCTCCAGAGCCACAGGTTGCAGACCCCTGGTCCAGATTGTTTTAAATGCTGTTATTCTCATGAATTGATCAAATAAGTTGTCTTTAATATTACCCTTTACTGTCAGGGTAGAATACCATTATGTAAAGTCAGCAGAAGTACTTTGTAAAATAGTGAAGAGAAACCAGAGAATATGCTTTCCAACTTTTGCCTCTGGCCCCACAAATGAAGATGGTGTCCCAGTTTCTTTCTTTCTTTTTTTTTTTTTTTTTTTTTTTTTTTGTAATAATTTTAAAACTCTACTGAAATAAGGGTATTTTTGTTCTAACAAGGTTGAGTTCAACCTCTAAATTGATCTAACTAGACTATTGAGAATGCATCAGGACATACATAAACGTAATATTTTACATTACAGAAGCATTAATGTCACTGTGTTCATTTCCTAAATGAAAAAAAACAAAAAAAACAATAAAGGATTATGTGAAAAAGAAGTAAAAGTTTGCGCCGGATTCTTTGAGATTTTTCTGGTGATGTAATAAGAGAGTTTTTCCACAAGGGGGCAGCAGAGATTCATATGAGACGCGTTGAGGTTTGGCGCTCTGCATTTATAACAAGGTTTATATGAATCATGTTACTGTTTATATGAATCATGTTACTGTAACCTAATTAAATCATCCCATCGTTTTACTCCTACTTTCAATGAATTTGAATTAATTATTGGTTTTAAATTAAGACCTACAGATATATTTTACTGACATGTTCAGCTCATAATACATGTATAGATTGTTTTGACCTAGTATCTTTTTTTTTTTTACATCAATGCATTTTAACCTAAATGATGATTTTTATATTATTCAAATATGTTCTATTGCATTAAGGTTTTTTTTTTATATATATACCTTTTTGTCAAATTATATTTTGATTAGGACCATTACTTGCATCACGGACTAAAATACATGTTTCAACTCATTGTAACTGTTAAACAAATATACAAAACCACATCATGTCTTTATTTTAGTCCTACTACGGTAGTTTCACATATATTCAGCTTAAATTCGTCTCATCCGCCTGTAGGAAAAAAAAAAACAAGCATTTTTTTGTTGTTCTCTAAGTAAATTAACTGAATTAAAGTTGGATTTTAATCAATCACATAAATGCGTCATCGACTGGATCTGTTCACTTGTTTAGTTTATTAACAATGAATATATATTAAGATGAAATAAGTGACCTAACGCTTGAATTGCTTTTTTTTATTATTATTATTTAAGCCTCCATTTCTTTGCAGGTGTCGTGCTGCGGATCAGAAAATTATTTTTCTCTGATCAGCTTCATTCTCAGCCGCAGCAGAGAAACTTTGATGTTAATTAGTAAAAAAAAAAAAAAAAAAAAAGTTCTGTGGAGATCAGATAACAGGAGGCATTCTTGGTCTTTGAAAGCAGATTCTTTTTGGTCAGCCTGGGGCCATTGGGTCTTTTAGGGGGAGGAATTAGCTCATCTTTACATTTCCACAAGTCTTTTGTCTTTTTTAGGTTTCACTTGCATACTCTTAACACATTGTTGCTTTTTAATTCGTGTTTTGATAATGACACATTCTAAACTTTTTTGCAGCTTTTGCCATTAATTTGATTCCTCATAAAAACATCTAAACAAATCAGAACCAAATAAAAACGTTTTTTTTTTCTTCCTTTTATCTGCGAGCTTCTTTTGTTCTGTTCTGCTTCTTCATTCAGGTGTATTAAATGAGCGCATGCGCACTGGAGATTGTTCAGGTAACGTCTAGAATGCAGGAGCGTCCCAGCGGTTCAGTGACTCGCTGCGTGTGCGCGGGATCAGAGCCTTCCAGATGTCGGTGCTGGACAGGATCGACTGGAGGGTGAGTGTTGTGGATTTATTGTTCACCTTGTGATCCTGCACGAGACGTAACGATTCACGTCAGAATCGAACTTTTTTTTCTATATAACTTTTATCGAATTTAAAGGATTTTTTTTTTCTAGGCTGAGACTAACTAAAGTTCAGAATAATAGCACTTTTTAAAAATTAAAATAAAGCTAGAATATTTATGTTGGCTTTTCATTCTTAATTTTTTTTACAGATTTATTTAGTTGACAAATGAGGAAATCAGTGTTTTAACTGATAAAATGGATATTTAATTGTTTGTGTTGCTATAAACTTTTCGGAGCGTGTAAAGAGATGTTTTTTAACTTCAAATAACAATAGTATATGTTTCACTTTTTAATTTGGTAATCCATCTGATCTGTGTTGGACCCACCTGACTTCAGATGAGTCTATCACCGCAGCGGGCGGTCATTGAAGTGACATGCTGCGCTGCGGGATTGAAGCAGATTACAGTCAGGCCAAGCGTGACTAAACTCGATTATTTAGGCCTGCTCGGGTTTGTCTCAGCCCAGGATCAGCTTTAATCACCGCGCATTTTCTCTTCTGCTTGGAGTCCCCAACAAGCCAAGGAGCCAAATAAGAGCTAATCCTCCGCTGTGTCGGTGCGGAGGTTCCCATCAGAGCACCGCAGCTGAAGCTCAGGAAGCATCGACTTCCGTTGAGATTATTAAAGGACAGCCATCAGAACATGATGGTTTTATAGAGACACTTCATAGGACTATTCTGACAGTAATAAATATAAAACGGTATAATTCTGGTTTTAGAGTCCTTGTTTTCTAACAGCTGAGCTCCGCCAAAGTGTAAATGAGGTTTGAGAAGAGCAGTTTGTTGAGATTCTTTAAGCTTTTGAGAGTGAAGCTGCAGAGCCTGGGGGCCTGCTGCGGTTTGAGACGAGCACTTAAACAAACTGAACGTCACCGGCCTGCACTCTGGAAGAAACATGCTCTTTCCAAGGAGACAAGTTTTGTTAAAAAAAAACATAAAAAAAAAAAGTCTGCACTCGACTGAATGGAATTGATCAAACATCCAGTAATTTGCTTATTTGCAAATAAACATGAATAGAATCATCACCATCAACCCATTTAGATCAAAATCCCCTTTTCAAGGGGACCTAGCCAAGAGTTCAATGGCACGCGTCATAAAATCAATCAACCTTTATTTATACAGGTAAATCCCATTGAGCCTCGAGGACTCATTTACAAGAGAGACCTGGTTTCAACAAAGAAAGATGACAACAATGGACAACAGCAACAACAATAAACAGTTATAAAAAAAAGCATACTACAAATTTTTTTTTTAACAAATAGTGATCAAAACAAGAAACAGTATATACAGTAATAAAAACAGTTTTTATCAACATAAATGGCCTCTGAGTTTAACATTGACCTAAACAAAGACAATGGTTATCATGCACAAGTAATAGTTAAAAACACAAAGGATTATCAACAATAATAATAATAATAATAATACATTTTGTACAATGAAAAAAAATATATACACATATAAATAAATAAATATATATATACATATATACATATATATATATATATATATATATATATATGTGTATATGTATATGTATATATGTATATGTATATATATGTGTATATGTATATGTATATATGTATATGTATATATATGTATATATGTATATGTATATATATATATGTATATATATATGTATATATGTATATGTATATATATATGTATATATGTATATGTATATATATGTATATATGTATATGTA